TTTTTTTTTTTTTTTTTTTCCGTTTTCATTTATTTATTCAGTGGAGTGATTGGGAGAAAGAGAGCTAAGGGCCAAAATCCCTCCCGGACGCCAAGCCTTTTGTTTTCTTTCAGTATCATAGCCAGGATGGGGGAAGCGGGATGCCCCTCCCCCCAACAACAACCGGCTGCTTTTGTTTTTCCACCACAAACCTTGATTCTGGTTCACAAAGGCAACTTACTGCCTTTGAGAGGCCCCGCTTGGAACTTCCTCCCTCCCTCTGAGAAGTGAAGAGCTAGCTTCTTGCCCCTCTTCTGAAAGTGGGAGGAGGCTGAGGAAAAAAAGAAAAAAAAAAGCCCCCTTTTTGTTTTCATTTTCGTTGTATTGGTGAGTATCCTCTGACAAATATGCAGGGCTTGATTTTAACTTGTATAGATGTACAAAGTGCAGCTAAAGGACCACGGTTGTATGAAACTATGTAACTACTGCAGTTCTCCAAATCTCTCCTTTGTGCTTTGACTTGGGTAATCAGGACCCAGGAGGCCCAAAACTGTGGAGGGGCAGAAGCAGAAGTAGACATGAGGACCCCCACTATATGTCTAAATATTTAGTTGTAAATCAGTTCAATAAACTGTAAAAAAAAAAAAATATCTCCACCTTGGTAAAAATACCTCTGTAGCAATCTTGAAGAGAAGATTCACATATAGACTCCTAACAGTTTGACCTGAGTTTTGTGGAGAACAAGGTGAGGTGAGAGAGCTGCCTGTAGCCTCATCTCTTCCCACCCCCAGCTCCAACAGATTCCAGAACTTCGACCACCTGCATGTGGACCCGTAGCTGCACACCCCACCATGTAACAGTCAGTAGGCACCTCTACCCCACAATTCAAGTCCAGGTACACACCACAGTGGTTTTGTCAACATGGGACTCGAAGTGTACTTGGGGGCCTTCGGGTCAGGAATCCTGGGGTTCCAGGCACTTGTAACACTGAGCGGTGTGGCCCCTTGACCCCACGGGTGCTTCACTTAGAAAGAGATGGAGCTTGAAGAGGACCAGAACCTGAGGAGGGCCTGTTTCATGACCCAGTGGTGATGCACTGCTCAAGAGAAACCAGATCCCACATCCCAAGATACCATGGGCCTGAGGACTGGAGGAAGGGGATGGAGGTGTGACCAGCCCCTGAGGAGAATGCTTCAATGCTTCTCTTTCTCTTCTCTTTTCTTCTCTCTTCTCTTTTCTTCTCTCTTCTCTTCTCTTCTCTCCTCTTCTCTTCTCTTCTCTTCTATCTCTATCTCTATCTCTCTTTTGCATGCACACACATTCTATCATGGTGGAGCAGGGAGGTGGGGATACAAAGAAAATAAATAAAGCACAGGGCCCACTAGAAGGACTCAGTCACAGTGCAACCCATGGTCAAGAGATTGGGTTCTGGGATCAAACTGGACCAAACCACATGACTACAGTTTAGATAAAGTCTTCCTGCCTCAGTTTCTTTGTCTTTAAAGTGGAGAGAATGTATATGTTCTCCCTGCCTCACAGGGGTTTTCTGAAAATGAATTTTGGTGAAACCTTTGAACTGTTTGGAAGAACGGCACTATAAACAGAAAGGGTGTTATTAGCTGTCTATTCATGTCATTTTCAAGTGCCACCTATGGCCTATAAAGTTTTTCTTATGCCAAACTTTTAAATTCCAGGACTAGCAAATAGTGAAACATCGTCTATCTGATCCTTATTGTGTAAAGGAAAACTCCTAGAGAAAGTATTTCTATAACTAGATGGATTTTAGGGAATGATTCAGTCCCCCAACACTCACTTCTTTCCTCCCTCTTTCCCCACCTATTCAAGTGTTTAAAATAATTCTTTTTGGAATTTTGAAGGATACTGTTCCCAAGAGCACCCCTGTTAAAATGACCCCTGAGATTACTCAAATGAGGAATGAACAACAATAAGCCCTACTACAAATACGACAGAGAGAGAATGGGGGTATAAGGAGGTGAGCCTAAGAGAGAACAGCCATTGATTCTAAATACATGTATTTATGGCGTTAAAGCCCAACTTGGGCGTGTTTAGCTAAGAACAATCTGTGTTGTCAAGAATCTGCTCGTCCTTGAGAACCAGCAGTTAGCGTAATGGCTATGTCGCTGGACTCCCACATAGTCCACCGTGGTTCGCGTCCTGGACCCGGTGGCTTAAAACTCACGCTGGGCGTGTGTGCATGCATGCCCAAGATCCCGAGAGGAGAATGGAGGAGAAGGGATTGCAGCGTGACCTTCCCCCCTGGGGGGTGATTTCTCGCTTTCTGTCTCTATGTCTCTCTCTGTCTGTCTGGCGAGCGCACGCGCCCTATAGCGAAAATCTCTAAAAAAAAAAAGAATCTGCTCGTCCTCCGTGATGAGTGCATGAACACACTATAACGTTTGCAATACGTTATTAGTCTTATTGATCTCTGCTGTAGCACAAGCCCCCAAGGAGACTAAGTGATTTAGCCCAGTTAGACAGGGACATAAATCTGCTGACACCAAGCCTATACTGTGTAAGTGTGACAACCTCACATGACAATTACACTGAACTCCAAAATTTAGAGCCTAAGAGATATGTCCCTCGAGAAAGAAGTTTACAAGTGTGAATTCTCTCCCCTCCAGTCCTTGAATGTCATAAGTTGATTTGTTCCTAAGTATGTTGTCCTCAAGTCTTTTGATTCTTGCTAATACGAGCTGCCGAACCCCAAGCCCATCCCCTAGGTGACCCTTCCCAAATAAGTAAGAAGGAAGCCCTTTGTTGCTGTCGTGCTGGACAAGCTGATTCTGTAAATGTAGCCTGGGTGGCTGGAGGTTCTATTCTGAGATTGCCTTGACATCATCTAATTACAGAATCAACCTTCAGGCAGCTATGGCCTCTGAGATCCTGCTGAAGGTCAAAAATCTTCAGAGAAGTTTGTATTTATCATTCTATGGAGACTTTTAAATTAGAGATCACCTAAAAGGCATTGCTTGGGGGCTGCTTCAATATACATCTGTTAACTAGTCTGCATAAATGTATGAACACACATTGATGAAAACATAAATTATTTTCACCGCACATGTGATCTTTGCTGGCTAGCCACACTGTTTGGTTCCTGAAAACTGAAAAGAACAGAGTATTGTAGGAAGTCAATGAAGAAAATTTTCTGAAATGATTTTTTCAAGCTAAATTTATGATGAAGTAGATCAGGACAAGCCCATATCACCGTTTTAAATGCTTTGCATTGGGAACTGTACCCACATAGCTACCATGGTTCAAATCTTAACCCTGGCAGTTTCCAAACACTGCAGGTACATACAGGTGCAAGTGTGCCCCAAATTCTGACAGGTAGAAGACAGAGAGAGAAAAGGATCATAGTATGACTATGACCCACTGGATGGTGATTCTCTCTCTCTCTCTCTCTCATAAGTTATGTGCCCTCTGGCAATACAATACATACATACAAACAAGACCTAATAGCTTGAATCATAGAGAATGAGAGATTCCTCAAAATCAAAACAAAGGGCTGACTTTGTAGCCTAGTAGTTAAGAAAGTCAGATCCCACACGACTGACTGTGACTCAAATCCTAGCGTTGGCAATTTGAAAAACACACCGAGTCCCTGTGTATGCATGCCTAGTATCCCAACAGTTTGGAGAACTGAAGGAGAAGGTATTGCAGTGTGACCACACCCTACTGGGAAGTTCGTTCTCTCACACTCTCTCTTTAGAGCACCCACCATCTGGCAATAAAAAAAATATTAAGTAAGCCGTGTTTCAAATAAAGGCAAAAGGATACTCCAATTCAAATTTGAGTCAGCTTAATTCCAGTATGTGGTTATACACAAAAACAAATCATCAATGATCAATGGTCAAATTAAAAAATACAAAAAACCACCATTGCTTATGGAGTAGACCATGTATCACATAAGCTCTCAATATAATTAAACTTCATTGGACCAATGTGTTAATGTGATTCCTACTGACACTCTAGCAAGATTCAAAAATGTTATTGCTTCCAGACTTGAATACAGGTTCTACTTTTCATTCGGATCAACAAGTTAGCCCGGATTGTAGACAGATACAGCTCCTTAAATCCCTAATTGGTTAGTGAGTTATAATTCTTTTTAAAAGCCACCCTTTCAACCTTCAAGCTCTTTCTTTCAAAAGTCAGACTGTGGCTGAAAAGATTTCATCTCTTCCCTCTCCCTGTCATTAACTCTCCAACCCATTACAGTCAAATTTTTGCCCCCATGGCTCTGATTCTGTTTTGTCCAAATTCATAAATGACCTCTTAAAAAAAAAAAATATATATATATGTATGTAAAGGGAGAGAGGATTTTTTTCATTACAGCATTTTCAGTGTATAAAAGTAGACAAATATCTTAAGCTCAAAAAGACCTCTTAATTGGTAATGCCAATGACCTCTTTTAAGTCCTTCGGCTATTCTGCCTTTGGTATCTGACACTGTTGACACACCTTCCTTCCTGAAACTAGTTCTTTTCTTATATTTCATGAATCTGATTCTCCTGTCTTTTTAACTGCTCCTTTTCTGGCTTCTGTCTTATATAGATAGATCCTAATATTGGTTTTCTCTTTTTATTTCTACATGCTTTCCTAAACAATAGTATCCACCTCCCT